TCCGTTGAGTGCTATTACTCCTCCTAGAGACGAATAATCTCTAAAGCCTCAGCCGTGGATAAAGCTCATATGTGTCTGCTTACTAGGATAAATGGTCCTTATCCTCATCCATTCTTAGGAGGAGACAACGTTGAGACACTTGGTTGGGATGGAGTAGGGAAAAAATTATAATTCATGGACAACACTAAGTTTGAAATAAAGAGAAGTGGAAACTGTCCTTCTTTCCTCACTGTTCCAATGTGTTTGTGAGCTCCACTTTTTGATTTTAATCATCCACATGAATCCTGCTGTTCAGTTATCCAACACGTGCTGCGACGACAACATGTGTAGAAATGGTTATCTCAAAGTTTAAAAAGATTACAAATGTGTAGTTTTAAATAATTAATTGTTTATGTTAATTGTTTAATTATTGTTTAGTCAGCCGGTGGCAAAACAAGTCATTGCAGTGTGTGGTGACTACAATCCGGTAGAGTCACGTGAGGCTAAGTACGGGAGATTGGTGTGTGGACTCGTTCCAAACAGACAGATTCCTCCTGTGAAGTTGATTCATTTTATTGTCCGAAAGTCAAGTTAAAAAACATCCAAGCAGGCGAAGCATGCTGTGCAACGATGCAATAAAGTGCGCTGTAGAATACGGTCAACAAAAAGTATCGTCTCCCGACTCACCCATGTCCATACAACCATCCCTCTGCCTAGGTGCCTACACTCATTCATAAACCACTGCACCCCTGCCCACGTAACTGTGATGCTAATTACATTTCAAAATTAAAAAAAGTACCAACACTCACACGCAGGAAGTGGCAGACGGCCGCTACATCCCAGCCCCTAAATATAAAACTGTAGTAATTACAAAAAACACCATAAAACATACATCAAACGAATGCTCATGATTAATATTCCAGTAAGGGGGTGTAGTCATCTTCTTTCACGACGAGTCTAGTCTAGGCCAGAGGTTCAAGCACTTAGCCTGTCAAGGTGATCTTTACCACCACCTTTTGTCGTGTGAGTAGATAAGTCAGTCAAAAGTAATTGTCTCTTCAGACCTCTGCTTCCAGTAGCAAACAGACTTTGGTTATTGGCCTATCTAAACAATTGGTCTTAGTCTTGATGAGTAGCCTTCGTACTAGTCCTTTTCTGTCTGGAAAGGTTTGAATTACCTTTCCCATGACCGAGGAATTAAGAGATGCTGTCTCGTCCACAATGAGCACTATATCTCCAATCACGAAGTTGCGTTTCACGCCAGTCCACTTCTGGCGTTCCTGGAGCTGCGTCAAGTACTCCTGGACCCATTGCTTCCAGAACAGATCGGACATTTACTGGACTTGCTTCCAGCGGCGACAAGTGTAGAGGTCGTCCTTCTGAAACTCCGCTGGTGGTAGAGATAGGAATGTTTTCAGCAGCAACAAATGATTGGGGGTCAATGCCTCCAAATCATTAGGATCGGGAGAAGAGTTGGTGAGCGGACAACCATTAATGATGGACTCAGAGTTATATATTTCACAGAGAACGGTATGAAATCCGTCCTCATCAAGATTCTGTACCTTAAAGGTAGAATTGAGAACTTTACGTATGGATCTTATCAATCTTTCCCAAACTCCCCCATGATGTGAACCAGTAGGAGGATTAAAGTTTCACTTGATACCTTTCTGTAGAAGAATGTCATTAATCTGAGCATGATTCCAGACTTCAATAGCCTCCCTCAGCTCACTCCAACGAAGTTTGTTCCATTATCCGAGCATATTTGCTGGACTTGGCCGCGCCTTGCTACAAAACGTCGCAGTGCATTGATAAAAGCACTGGTATCCAAACAAGATGCTACTTCAATATGGATCGCTCGTATTGTCAAACAGGTGAACAAGACTCCATATCTCTTCACCATGCTCCTTCAGCTCTTGACTTCGAAAGGGCCGAAGAAGTCCACTCCTACCCTGGTGAATGGAGTTTTTTCTGGGCAGACTGTCAACAGGCAGATCTGCCATCTGTTGGCACCCTGGAGCGGCTTGCAACCTACGACAGACCACACACTTGGACAGGAGACAGGAGTCTCCTTATAGCTGTAGTAGCACCTGGAATCCAATACCTCTGACGTAATCTTGACAACACATAATTGCGTCCGCCATGGCCCACCTCTTCATGAATATGTTTGAGAAGAATGTTGGAGATGTGGGAAGATGATGGGATGCCTACTTCCTTCGGGCATAGCTGCCCTACTTAGTCTTCCAACAACTCTCAAAATGCATCCTCAAACACTGGCGAAAGCTTGTAAATGAAGCTGTTCTTCCCAACACTCGTGTCAGTCTGCAGTCTGATACGCTCATCAGAAAACCACCTTCTCTAGCAAAACTCGATAATTTCAAATTCTGCCTTCGTTAGTTCCTCCACTGTGAGCAAACCGCTACAGGCCAGGGCTTTGATCACCTCCGCTTTATGCTCTGAGGAAAGGTGCTGTTGCTTACTCAAGTTCAGCTGCCTCCTTTTCTGGCTGAGGGACAAGAGCAGATTCTTAAACCTGAGGATCCAAGCCACGGTCCTTTTCAGATGAGTCCAAGAGAAGTGATTCACTAAGCGAGTGGTGGCGTCCACCTCTGACCCTTGCATGGCATTCACTGTAACGCTAACCTTGACCTCTGGATCATCTGGTAGGAGTTTACCTGAATGATCTGGATTCGCAGGCCAGTCCTGTTCAGGGTGTAGCAGATACTCTGGTCCTGACGGCCAGGTCTTATTCTTGAGGAACGCAGCTACCTTCAACCCTCTGGAAGCCACATCTGGATTGCTCGTGGTGCTTACGTACCTCCATTGCGATGCCTGATACGCTTTAAGGATTTCTGAAACTGCTCAAAACAATGAGGGCTGAAGCCTCATATTTAATTTGCTTTTCCAAATATGTCCATACGGCTTGCCATGGTATCAGCCGTAAGCTCCATACGAGGTATCGAAACTGACTTCAATGGAGCTACCCTGGATTTTCCCATGACAAAGGCGCTATGCACCAGGGACTGTGCATTTTACAAGAGCAGGTCACAACACCATAACCTTCACTTGCATCTGTAAAGTGATGCAATTGTGCTGCGATGACTTCTCCAAAGTCTAATGGTTTTAGGCACCTAAGAATCTGGAAGTCTTCCAAATGACTGAGCTCCTCTAACCATTGTGTCCATTCCTGTGCAGCAGAGGGTGGTATAGGCTCGTCCCAACCAAGTTCTTTTCTACACAGCTGTTGCAGGATGATCTTGGCAGTGAGGACGACGGGACTCAAAATTCCCAAAGGATCATAAATTGAACTTATGACAGAGAGGATGCCCCTTCTTGTCAGAGGTTTTTGTTGCACCATGATCTTAAACTTAAAAAGGTATCTGACTGAAGGCAGAATTGTACCCCTAATACCCTTTCCACGGGAAGTGTGTCCTGCTCCAAGTCCAAGTCCTTCATATCTTTTGCCCTTTGATCTTCTGGTATTGCTGTGATCATGGCACGTTGATTACTCGTCCATTTAGTCAACTTAAAGCCGCCTTTGGAACAGATGGACACCAGATCGTGCTGGAGTGCCACAGCTTCTTTCTCAGTGGCTGTGGCTACGAGGCAATAATCCACATAGAAACAATGTAAAACCTTCTCGATAGCTTCCAGACTGAACTGCCCTTTATTGTCCTCGGCACATTTTCTACCTTTCTTTTCATAAGCTCTTTTATAGCAGGAATTAGTGCTTTGATTTTATCTACGAGCACCTTTTGAAGCTTTTCAATTTGTATTGCCAAAGCCTTTGCAGGTTAGTTTGACTTCTCGTTTTTCCATTGTTTCGGAAACATTATTCACGTCGCGATCATGTGTTTCGCTCATTGGGCCTTCAAGTTCGACAGTTCAAGTTTTCACAGTGCACCAACGAGTCAATAGCGTTCAATTAAATTCACGTTTCCAAACGGGATTCAACATCAGATTCCCCACTGCCAAGCCAAACAGTTCGACGGTCGATGTAGGCGAACGTCACCCGGAAAGACGGCGCATGGACACCCGCAAACCATCAAAACTTTCCAAACACAGCATGAATGAGGGTGGGGATTTTGCGGGCCTACCGTGGCTGTTCGCGTTGGGATGAATTCTTGGCTCGATAAGGATCTCTGTCGCGATGTATCTGTAATCCAACTTTCTTCTTCGGATCCCGTAATCCGACAGGAATCCGTGATAAAGACTGCACGTTTGTTGTATGCAACTGATTACTTATTTACTTTTTTGTTGACAAATGTGGTGGCTCATCAATCCTTGTGATTGATGTAAACAGAACCATATTACACTTTAACAACACACATCTTGATCTTGAATATGTTGGAAATATCGTAGCTGTAAACTCTGAATCATCTCTTTCCACCTCTCATATTATTCTCTTTAGTTTATGACGTTCTTGAAAGGTTTTATTGTGACAGGTCCGTAGAGGAAGTGCTGTTGGTGCTTTGCTTACTTGATTCTGGTCCTCGTGTCTCAGAGCTCTTGTTCCCCTCCTCTGAACGCCGAGCTCACCACCCTCCTTATTTGGGGGGCGGCAGAGGAAGCAGGAGATCCTTGTGCTGCAGTTCCTGGACCACAATCACGCACACAGACACACACTTACCAATGGAAATTTTGACCTTTCACCTTTGTGTACGCCGTGACTGAGCGGTCACACTGACAGGATGGAGCTCCACTCTTCCTTTCACTAATGACTGCAGCGTGAGTGTGTCGGTGTTTGGATGTGAGCGTATGTTAGACCACCTGAAAGGGTATCGGGTTCACTGAGTGTCTCGCTGTCAGGCCTTGATGTGCATCATGGAAGGGGGGATGCGTGTGATGAGGTGAAATGCACCTGTCTGACCCTGTAACTCAGTCAGTTACAAGCGACACAGCAGCCTCATCAGCTCACACCAGAACAACAAAATTACATTTTGGATTTTAATTTTCTCAAAGTTCATTTAAATATTTTATTTAAATTGCATTCTAATTTTGATTCTTTTAATTTTAGTTTGTCTTGCATTTTTTTGTTATAAATTTGTTATAGTTTTATATAATGCTGTCGTGAGTTTAATGGCTGACCTGTATTTTGGGGACAGAAAATAATTGTGAAACTGAGGCTGCTGGAGGTTTGGGATTCACACCTCGTCCACAGAGGAGTTGTCCTCAGGATGATCTGAGGAAGTGGAGACGATGTTTTTGTGACAGAGCAAAACTAAAAAAGACGAATTACATTACATCACATGTCATTTAGCTGACGCTTTTATCCAAAGCGTCTTACAATAAGTGCATTGAACTATAAGGATACAAACTCAGAAGAGCAAGAAACAGGAAAGTGCAATTTCATCAAATAAGCCTCAATAAGGTCTCAGATGGACACCTAGAGGCAGATGGACACTCTGTAAAACCCTACAAATATAAGGGAGATAAAGAGAAGACATGCATATCAGATGTGCGGGTGAAAGGGATATTGGCATCTGCTCACCTCCAAATTAGACCTTGATGGTTCAGTCTGTGAAAAATAAAACGCAAAAACAATAAATAATAAAAATGATAACAGCCATATTTGGTTGATTCAAAACCATTATGCGGCTCACCTGATTCTCATTGCCATCATATTCATCCCAAATAGGGTGGACCTGAAATGACAAAGAATAGTTCAAGTACATGGCCCTGTATGTCAGGAATTTGCAAGAAGAAACCCAATCGCAGACCAGATGCAGGAACAGTTCAAGGTTTATTTACAAAAGATTTTAACGCAAAAGTCCAAAAGGCAAACACACAAAAGATCCAGGCAAAAACTAGATTTTCCAGAGACAAAGATCATATGTTAGGGACCCAAACACAGGCAGCGCAAAAACATCGAAGCAAGGCAGAGCAGGAATTCAGGACAGAACTCACAATGCTTTTAAAAATGAAAAACCAACAAGAAACACAAGACAGACTGCATTTAAATACCAAAGGGGGAACTAGACAACATGACACGGGTGAACTAAACAAGGGGAATTAACAAGACACAGGAGAAACAAATCAGGCAAACGAACAGGGTGACGATTGGGAACAGGTGAGGGGTGGAGACACGGACAACAAAAAGGGAGCACATGGCAGGAACAAGGAAGTACAAGGACTAGAGACAGGAAGGAAACAACGGCAGACAGGAAGTAACATAAAAGGACAAACAAAGTGAAAGCAAGGGACAAAAACAGAGCAAAGACCTGACACTGTATATGAACAGAGACATCAATATATGTTCTGTGATGCTAAGGAGTGAAAAGCTTGCAATTAATTGTACCTCCTCAATATTGTTGCAGCATGTTTCCGCATGGAGGCTGAGGAGTTGCAATGGCACCTCCTGGTGGCATGTCACACATTTGGCCTTGGGCATGGCGCTGAACTCCATGGCGGAAAAGGGAAGGGGAGATGTGTCCAGCACATGCTGGATAGGCATGATATATAGGCACCCCTTGCCTCCCCAGGATTTCACTAGGCCAGCCCCGGTGTAACCAGACTCGTCAGGTGACACTAACATGAGTCGCCTTTGTCCAGACCCTCCTGTTGTAAATGTTATATTAGTAAGGATAGGCGCACTCTACTTCCAAAATAAAGGCGATTTAGGGTGCGAGTGAAAAAGACTATTAACTTAAAGTAGAAAAAAACGCACTCTCAAGCTTGTCTCGTGCTTATTTTGACCAGTTTATTCACAGACGCGTTTCAGCCTAAACCATCGTCAGTGTGTGTGCTTGAGAGTGAGATTTTTTCTACTTTAAGTTATGACATTTTATATTAACCATGTAGATGGCAGTTAATAAGATAATATAGAAAAGCACAGAAAAGATGGAGTTAACTGCTCTTACCCATTGCTTTGTGCAACATCCATGCCCGCTCTAGGTCACGCAACTTCGGGTACACCTCACAGAGAAGATCTATGATCTGTGAATTTAAACCACTCAAATAAGAATACCAAAAGTCCCTAAAATGAAATCCTACAGACATCTTAAACAGTTTGAGACTCTGTCAAAGCCTCAACGACCAGGACCAATCAGAGAAGAGCCCGTCCTCCTTTGGTTCCCGCCCACACACTGCCAAAAGTCATACTTTCGAGCGAGCAGACCAAGTTTTCGCGAGAGAGTATGTCAGTCTCTGCGCTCGCAGTTGTAGAATTTCCTCTCGCGCCTGCTAAAATTGAGTGCGCAGAATAAATGTACGCTTGCGAAAACCTGAAATTCACTCGAATAGACGTTTCCTCGCATGTGTGAGTTTTGTCATTAAACTGACGCCATAGAAAGACCATGTCCTCAATAAGAGTTAAACAGCGTTGCCAAATGCGCAGGGACTTTGTGCTCATGCTTGTGTACAGCACGCCCCTCACTTCCTCTCTTCCTCTCCTGCTCCACACGCTCAACAGGCAGTGCTGAATTCTGACCTGTGCAGCAAAGGAACATTTCTGATGTTATTTTGTGCTGCCATCTAGTGGGCTCTGATTGGATCTCGCACGCAGGAGAGCCGGGGAGAGACAGCGTGAACAGTGGCTACGCAGGAATAAGATCCGACATCCAATAATAAACCGCAAAGAGCGTACCCACTAGACAGCAGAGGGATTATTTGTAGTGGCAAATCTAATTGTTAGTCTACTTTTTCAAAAGGACTATTCAGACCGTACACCCATAAACCTGGTGAAAAAAACAATTGTGGCTCGGTGTGTGTCTGTGTGAGTGAGACAAAGCTTTTCTTTGTGTTTGCGTTATTCCTATATATTTGCACATTACTGGTCAATTGGTTGCTAACGAATTGGTTGTCTGGGGAATATTTTCCCTTGGATCTTCGTTGGTAACCCAGGAGTCTGATGCCCTTGGTTAATTGTGTTTGCCGTGGCCCAGTGCCATCAGATAAACGCTGCCCTCAGGAACTGTTGGTCCACTCCAAATGTTCTCCAAGAGCACGTCAGACAGATTGACTTCAGGATGGGATGTGGTCACTCTGTCAGCCAAAGTGAAGGTATTGCACCATTTGCAATTTTTAGACATAACAATTTTTACTATTTTCAATGTTTTGTCATTAAATAAAATAGTGCATTGCAAAGCGGTGTCGGCTGCGCAGCTGAATAAATAATGCAGTGATATGTAAGAGACACATAGAGGCACATATAGCATTGATGACCCCATGGTGACGCCCTCTGGGGTGTTTCTGGTAATGTGGGGCCAAACTGACCGAATGCAGGTGTTGACATAGTAAAACACATGTCTGACGTTATGTGTTAGGCTAACTGCAATACTTTTGATAGCTCAGTGATCACTGATGATGATGAAAGCCTAATATGTGAGGAATTTGTAAATGGATATAAGGAACTTTAGTCCCCATGATAAAAGTTGTATTTGATGCTTCTCAATTGCATGCCACAACCCAATTACACAATAGTAAGAACTTTCCTGTACCCCTATTTTTATTTGTAGATATTAAAATTCTTGTTCTTAAATATTTCTATAGACTAGACATAGTTATTGCCTCTAATACAAGTGAAGGTGCAGAGGTGGAATACAATCAATTTTTAAGTGCTATACTTTACTTTATACTTTCAAATTTATACTTCTATTGCTCTGGATTTTACGAAATATTGTAGTTTTACTGTAGTTCACATAACTCCACAGCATAATATCAGCTACTTATACTTGCACCCTAGATTATGAGTAAGTGGCAACATCTTCAGAGGCAGAATGTTGCAGAGCTCCAACTTCATCAACTCCATCTCCCTTATGCTGTGCCGTCAGATATGAACGAGTTAGTTGTAATGGGCCCGATAGACTCTTCCATCAGTGATGAACAGGTGTGAATGACATGTCGTTTGAAGCGCTCGCAGAGGTGGGAAGACAGACAGGCGCTCTTTATCAAAATACTAAATACAAGTCAATGACTGAATTTTGATGCAGAATTATGGATGAAAGCTACCGAGCACATGACAAGAATGCAATATTAAAAATATACATACAAAAAGTAGCCTCACCTATATCATGATTATTTTATGTTATGGTGTTAGTAAATAGTATTGCTATATTTCTGAAAGCAGACTAAAATATATAATCCTTGCCCCTCCACTGGGTAGGGTCTATCCTAATAATATTAGATTCACCATATTCTATTTCCTTCCATTCTATTATCATGTTTCATTCACAGAATCATCAGACATAAGCCATTGGTTATATTGGTTGCAGAGGCGTACAACCAATGGTCGACTTGTTGGCAGCAGGCCGGTGGGCGTTAGGAAGTACGAGGCGTCCGTGAAGGCAGCAGCGGCTCTCACACGTCTCCTCCTCAGCACCGGGAGCAGAGCGCCAGCCTGCAGCGGGTAATCCCCATCTCCACCTTCCACTCGTCCTCGTGCCAACCGGAAGGGGACATGCGTTTGGGAGCGAATGCAAGTTGCGACCTAGAGATTCCTCCTCCGTCAGGAGAAGCTTCGGACCAGGACGCAGATGGATATGATCGCGTGAACAGCTGAATCCACCAATGATAAGCCGACTTTCCATAACGTGACAGCTGCTGTCGCATTTCATCTACTTTTCCAAAAACTACTGAAAGAACGTTCTGCTTGCTGTTTTTTTTGTCTTCTTCTTTTGTTGCCGCCTCGTTATTCCTGCGCCATGGTGACGTATCATCTAATATTAACTGTGATTATCGCGGCTCTTTGGGGGGTCGGCGGAGAGCCGCGAACGCATCGCATCGCTTCACCTGCGACGCGGGAGTTAAATACAACATCGCCGTCAATGGTCGGCGGAGGTGATGGAGCGCTGCCCCATAATGTCACCGACGCCGCCGTGGGCTCCCGGATTTCATCTCTAATGACTCATCTTCCAACTGTGAAAACCATCGTTATTTGCGTCTGCGTGCTGACAGCTGCTCTCATCACGTGCCTGCTCGTCAGAGTAGTCAGGTACGCGTTGGACGGTGCTGTGATCACGCAGTCACGTGTGCAGATCACGGTATTTGTGTCCTGATGTGGTTGTGACCTGCGTGAAGCGTGTCTGTTTACTGAATCTAAATATCTCTCCATTCGCCACATGGGGTTTATTCTAAGTTCACTATGTTTCATATTACTGCTGCAATATTCTATTTGCAGATCAATTGGTTGCCTTTCCTGGTTAATCAGTAGATATTTTAGTTAATAAAATATCGGAAAATAGTGAAAATGGCCTTCACAAGTTCATTGTAATGCCTTCAAATTGCCTTGCAAAGATATATAACAGGAAAAAAGCATATTCAAATCATGATTTGCACATTTCGCACCAAAGAATGCTCACACACAAATGTTGGCAACACCTTTTCAATTAATGTCAGTGGAATTATTGTTCCACTTTCTAATGTGAGGCTGTAAGATGTCACCACTTTAGTCTTCACAATGTGGGAGAAAAAAAATGAAACCGTTGTTGTTTATTCATTTGGACCAAATGGTGAGATTGTATTTCTGCTGATTTCATGTTTGGCAACTTTTTCTTTCCGTAAGATCCGGCAGACGAATGAGAAAAACCCGCAAATACGACATTATGACGACACCTGCCGAGCGCGTGGAGATGGACCCTCTTAATGAGGACAACGATGACGAGGACGACTCGACCCTCTTCGATGTCAAATACAGGTTTGTTTGTTTTTTGATAGAAAATAGTCAATGTTATCTTCAGATCGGAGAATGCTGAATTTTTTCTCTGTTTCTACTGATCACATGAGAACTACTCAGGCCTCATCTTATTTAGAGCGACGCACACGCGTGAAAGGGAACCTGAGATTCACCCTATTGATGCAATAACTAGTTGGCCCTCTATTGCATTTACTCCGTTGTGGTCATATTACACTTTTAATTTGCTTGAATTAACTTGTCTCACTTTTCCTCCTTCTTATCTCACGTTTGACCTTAGCAGTCATGGAAATTCTTTACCTTGATTTTCCTAATATATTTAATCTTTCAACTCCGTTTTGACTATCAAATGTTGCTGTGTGGCCCCATAGTTGTGTCAAAGTAAGTTCAGTGCCACTACAGCAGGTCCAACTGCTTTTACTAGACATCTATTACTCTCAACATTAATAAGTAATGCGATCCAGTACAAAACTACAGCAGCAGAATACAAATATTAAAGTATGCCTTTAAAATGTGTATCTGCTGCATGAGCTTCTTGAAGGAAGTGGCTGTGTTAAAGAAGCTTTGTAGTCGGTCTGATCTGATGTCGATGTTAGGTTTCACCCTTCCGTCCTCTCCATTGTTCTTTAACGCACAACCGTTTCCTCTAAGGAAGATATGCCGTCCTGTTTACCTGACGTTCTCGACATCCAAGTCAGACCGAAATCTGCTGCAGAACATTTCCTCCTCACCGCGGTGGTAGTGGTAACGCATAGAATTCAAAATAACTTTGACTTTCCATTTTGTTCTGCAGGTGAATCCCAGCGTGGACGTCAATATTTGATAACTCCTGTTTTCCACAGAAATTGATTTCCTGTTTTTTGTGTAGTTCAAGTCTCATCGGATCAGATACTCACACTGCCGATGCATGGCTTTAATTTGTGTCGAGCCCCCGTGGATATCATTCTTTGCCGCTTTACTGCTGCTTCCATCGTGTGGAACATATTACAATTATTTCTAATAGTAAGATTAGAATGACATTTTTGTCAATTAATTTTCTACACTTGAGCTACAGTATGTCGGGCTGAGTGTATATAGTACAGCACCCGCTTTGAAGCAATGAATAAATAAATAAATATATATATATATATATATTTTATATTATTTTATATATATCATTTATTTATTAAACCATCGAATGATAACATGCAACACATATTACGCAGAGAACACTTTATTCAAATGTAAAAATGTACAATTTGAAAAATCTATTGGTATACAGCAATTGATTCTTTTAAAACTAAAATTTCATACCAAATATATTTCTATCTACTAACCACTTTGCTGTGCGTTTATACTGTTGAAGAGGGTTGTGTGCTTTCTGTGGGTACAAACTAAGCGTATATTATTTTTTACTGTCTGTTCTAGATGTTCCTGTTTTTCTGCTACGACGAGTTTTCGGTGTTCAAATTTGGTTTAAATAATTGATTCAGGGTATGTTTGTGAGGTGTTTATGAAATCCAACCATTTGCTATGAATGTGAACGCTGTAATCTCTTGTGATAAAGTGTGCTGAGTCATGTGACATTGTTGCTTAATCAAGCAACGACTGAACAACATCGACAGCAGTATTTAACATGTTCGACGTGCACACCGTGTCTTATTTTTTTTATAACAATCTGGCATCTCTTGGTGAACAATATGTTCAGTATTAATGGAAGGTCTCCCACAATAATTTCTACCAAAGGCTCACTGAGTCTTAATGTTTAACTAGAAATTGACTGATTCCCCGCCTGAAGAGTTGCTTCAAGTTCTTGTGAAAAATCAAAAGAAAAAAGCCTCGTTTCAAGTGGCAACACTGGTTTAGACTAAAATAGTTTTGGCGTGTGGTTTTGACCTCCGTCTGCACCCAGAATGGAGTTAAAAAGTAAACCGTCTTGCCGAATACAACTGGATCAGGTTTCGGCAGTAAATGGGAGGGAAGGTGTTTAGATGACTTTCATTTTTAATCAAAACCGTTGTTGGATTGAGTGCACCGTGGCTTGGAGCCGCGTCTGATTGACCACAGTAGTATCTATGCCCTACTTTTGCTCGTGCTTGTGACCTTTGACCTTGTGCATGCGCAAGTGGGCGTGTACAGGAAGTGGGCGTAACCGGCGCCATTGTGCGGTCATGCCCGGAAATGCGTCATTTTGCGAGTGGAAACTGAAATACGTCATTTTGGGGCGTGATTTGTAGGGGGGCGTGCAGGGTTTTGATTGGAAATTCGCCATTTCAGGGTGTGTTTTATGCGATGGCCGTTAGTTTTGACCGGAAACACGTCACTGTAGGAGGGGTTTCATCATATATATATATATAGATGTGTTATTCGCCTCCACCACCAACGCACTCATTTTGGACTCCTCCTCTGTTGCTGCTGTTGCTGTTGGTTCTGCTACTATTGCCGTGCACTTGGATTCTTTGCAAATTGCAGGCTGCATATCGCATGGAGCAGACCCCAGAGACTGACATAGGTATGTCTACAGAAAATAGACCATGCTATGCAGATGTAGATGCTCCCCCGCCCGGGAAAAAGCGTGAGGGATGTCTTTCTAGAGAGCCTGCTGTAGAGCTAGAGCTGGAGGGTGTTTATGGGTTTATGGGTACGTGTATAATGTTAAATACCATGCCTACTAACCCATTGCATTAGCATCTCATTCCACTTTATTTTATTACTTGTGCACTGTTGTCTTGTCTGTCTACTGTCGCGCACTAACCGCCAAGACAAATTCCTTGTATGTTTGACATATTTTGGCTAATAAATGTTTCCTGATTCCTGATGATGGCACGTTCACGATGATTTCTAGAATCAAGGCCCAAGACAAGCTAGTAGGGGGTGTTGGTGAAACAGTTGATGATGAGGCTGCTGTGGGGGGTCGACATGGGTGTATGTCTGTAAAAGACTGGCAGCAGTTTTGATCAATTGTCTGCATAGATCTTGAACAACCAGGCTTTCTAGAATCTCTATACTCTGTTCAGTGGTATAGTACAACAGGGCCTAAAATACACCATCTCACGGCAGATCGGTACAACAGACGCCCTGACGATTTCATTTTTTTAAATGTTTGTGAAGACAGAGAGTATGTGGTAGCTCAAAGAGGCCGCCGAGGATGGAGAGAGCATCCGTACCCTCTTACCGTTGAAGAGTTTAATATATGGTTCCCCCTCGTGTTCTTTGTTCAGTGGTGTGACTGGCCCGCTCTGCAATAAGTGTTTAGTCAGATTGACAAATCCATCCAGAGAGACAGCGTCAGCAAGGCTTACTGGGCTGTTAGAAAACGCCTTGTTTACGACAATACACCGAGCGGTGTGCAACCTGGTATATCTACTACCATGTGTAGACCGAAAATAATTCACCCCTCAACCATCTAAAATAATGACAGGTGGGTTATGCTAATGTCGTGTATATATTTCTGTCACCGACTCGGAAATCTCAGGGTCCCAGGGGGGCTGGACCCCGCCCACTTCTCCTTCACCTCCATCTCTGATGGTTCACACCCCACCTCAGACTCCGCCTCCCGGACCGACGGCCACACAGGAAGAAGAAGAAAAGAAGTTCTGTGAACCTCACGAGGTGTTTAAGGATACTGCACGGTTCCTAGAATACCTTAGAATCGGGGGGCTACATCTGTTGAACAAGGTCTGGGTTAAATACAATATAGAGATCTGCTACGGCTGTCAAACAAATAATTCCAGTCAGAAAAACCATCCGTGTTTATACCCCTGTGACTGGTTCTACGAACTACACTTTGATCCGCTGATGAAAAGGCTCTGGAATGAGAACTTCATATCCTCCATCCTCCTGTTTATGGATATGAATGACCTTCAAGTCGATGCAGACCGCATCCAGGGGGGTGCGGAAGTACTTCTCGACGGGCTGAAATCTGGAAGCAATGCGGCTGAAAGTATCCAAAAAATGTATGATACACTGATCGGGGAAGATGAACTCAAAATGAACCAACTGAAAAAGCTCGGCATGTTGTGGGGAGAAGTACCACCCGTGCATGAAGCATGGGAGGTACCCGATGATGATAATGATGATGCGACAGACATTGATGTGTAAAAACAATCAAAACAAGAAAATGAAATCGAAAATGAAGTGAAGTTCTTGAATGTTTTTTATAACTGAAAATGTAATTTTGTTTTTTCAATGGGGTGAAATACTACTATACTATCAATCTGCTTGTCACATTTTGTACAAGAGAAATAAAATATGTTGTAACGAATGAACTGTCGGTCATTTAAACTTTGGTATTATGATGGAAGGGACTCTACAGAAGATTTATTTAGATCCATCCCATCCGGGAGGGTTAGGCAGTGTGTCTAAACTTCGCTTTCCTCTTAGAGAATGTACCAGTGTGACGCCGTCACTATCTAGTGTTAACGAATACCTACTGGCGCAAGACGTGTACACATTACACGCCAAGGCAGCCGTACGTTTTCCGAGGAATAGGGTTTTGGTCAGTGGCATTGACAAACAGTTTCAGGCTGATCTAGTTGATATGGGCGAATATGCTGAGGAAAATGATGCTGTGTGGTATTTGCTGACGTGTATCGATGTATTTTCCAAATATGCGTGGGTTAGGGTTAGGCTTTTCTAACAAATCTGGCCTCACAGTCACAAAAGCCTTTGAGTGACTGACGCATACCTGTGAAACTTCAAACAGATGAAGGTACAGAGTTTTAGTCACAGTATGAAAAAAGGCCAGCGTGGTGGAGCGCTTTAACAGGACTTTTTAAACCCGCATGTGGAGATATTTAACATCCGTTAATTCACGAAGATATGTGGATGTAGTACAGGAGCTTGTGGAGGCCTATAATAACTCACACCATAGGTCCATAAAGATGCAGCCATCAGCAGTCAATAAAGACAATGAGAAGACGGTCTTCATCCAACTGTACAAGTTGTACCCTCAGAAGACAGTATGCTTTAAATGTAACAATCGTCCAGCCATTATTCACGAACCAGCAAAAACCACCACAAAGGAACTGGAGATACAGTTCTTCTGAATATAGTAACACACACGTGTCTGTTTGTATGCTCGTTTTGCGAGTACTGCTGTATCAGTCATGCCTATGACCTCACACGTGATTGGACGAGGAGTCTAAGGGTCCTCCAATCACATACGAGGTTATTGTTATACGGAAGGACTCGCGAGACCAGCTGAGCTCGCGTATAAACAAGACCGGTGTGCCCATAGACATAATATACATAGACGCCGCATTGGCTTCTGGTCGCGAGAAATACGGCCGCCATCTTGGAGCGGTCGTACTCGTAGTTGCGTAGCAGCAGAAGATGCAGGATGCCACAGCACTGTGCTGCTTATTTCTGCGCTAATCGGCGGACCATCGCCAGCAGGACTCGGGGGATAACCTTTCACAAGTAAGATTTAATATTACCGTCCTATTTGTTGTGTTTTGTGAAAACAATATTACCAGAGAGTAGAGAAGGAGCAAGTATCTTACTGTAGTGAAATCGCAGTCAGGCTATGGCTATGTTTACTTCCTCGGCTGTTTTTCACCTGATTATGAACTGAGACTTGATAAGTCATATTCCATAACACTTTCAAACGGACACAATAATGTTATTGTAGAAATACAACCTATGGCTGGTATAACATTGGCCACACAACTTTCTTGTCATGTGGAATTAACGCATCTTAAAGTAGCTTGCTATGTAGTGAACTAGCTGCTGTGTTTGTGATACATTTCACTGTGTAGTAGCTTTTGTGTAGTGAAGCTTTATTCATGGCAGAGTAACTGATGTGAAAGCAACTTGCCCAACACAGTGTATTATTCACATGTAATTCAACAAAAGTAAGATACCTCTCGTATCTCATACCCATCCCACTTACTTAAAATAAAGGCAAAATAGAATTTTGCCAAAATAAAGGCAACAGAACATCTGACCTTAGAATGGTTTGCAAACTAGCTTATTTACAATTTCAGCAACTTTGGTTCATCATCAACAATATTCATCAACATAGGAGTTTTTTTTAAGAAAGGTTATAAGAAATGTGAAGAAAGAAAATAAGCTAACATAAACTTCTTTGTGAAATGTTTTTGTGTACACTCTCCCAAATCTTCCGTTTTTATTTTGAAGGTTTCCAAAGGACAAACATGTGAGGAAGAAGTGGGAAGTAGCTTTGAGGAGAGATGGATTTACAGCAAGTGATTCATCAGTGCTTTGCTGTGAACACTTCAAGCAGAGTGATTTGGATAAGACGGGTCAGATTGTCCGACTCCGGGATGGTGTTATTCCATCAGTCTTCAGCTTCCCGGTTCACCTCCAAAAAGTAGGCTATTCGCATTCATAAATGTACATATTCTATTATCATTACAGGGCAGGGTGAGATACTTATCCCTTTTTAATATATGTATATGTGTGTATGTATGGTAATATGTATTATGCTTCTTCATTTTAGTTGGAAAAAGGCAGGTCTACCTCTACCTCCAGAAGAGCTGATGAATGTCTGTCCGTGGCCTCTCAGGATTCCCAAGAAATGGCAACCTCACACCCACAGCCTAATGATGTGAATACTTCTACTTTAAACATCATATAATAATGTTTTGGACGTATTAGAATCTCACTTGTTTGCTGCCACTCATATTAAACACACTCACAAATAAACCCATACAACACACAATTGAAGACACGTTGAACATGCATTCCTGACACACACACACACACACCACACACACTGTGCTGGCAGTGGCTTTGAGAGGTGATGACTATAAGTAGGAATGTGGGCCATAAACTAGTAGTGCCAAAGTAATGTTTGTGAAATGAAACTTTACTCAAACCATGTTCATCTCTCTTTCAACTAGGATCATGGTTATGCCTTGCCTGCTTCTCCTACCGCTCTTAAGACTAGACTCAATGAAGCCTTGGCAAGAGTGGAAAGTCTGGAGCGAGAAAAGAAGAATGCCATTGCCAGAGAAAAGAGGGCAAAGATCACTGTGAATATAACATTACTGTTAAGTCCACAATGAATATTGAAATACGCCGAACTATGTGCCCTGTGTCATAGCTGCATGTATGACCTTTGCAGCAAAAAACCCCACGTGAGAATCAGTTGGGTATTCAGTGAGGTATGATTAATTGAATGCGCTCACAGCTGATTGCACCTGCAAACAGATTACACTGAGCGAAGCGGAGGACCGTTCCAAGATGGCGGCTGCATTTCTCGTCAGTGCCAATAGGCGGTAGCGGCCAATGCGGCGTCTATGTATATTATGTCTATGGGTGTGCCTGCCTATTCTGTGAGTTGAAAGATGGAAGTCCTAAGACCCAGAAAAAGACCTCGGCGCTACTGTGAACATTGCAACACTGAACTCTGTCATACACAGTATTTTGACCACAGAAAGCGCTATTTCAAAAATGGAGTTTGGGAGAAAAAACCCCAAAGGACTAGGTCAGATAACGCACAGAGCCTGTTGCTATCCAGTCATGAGCCAACCGGCGGGAGTTATGTTCTACCTGGAGTTGGAGAGATTGATGAAGGTGAAATGCAGTCCGAAGACCCAGAAAAAGAAGTGAACAGTTTTGAGGAACCCGTCCTTGACCCTCTAGCAGAACTACGACCAGCCATTATAAAGCAGTTTATAGTTGTTAATGTTGTGTCAAAGGGTACGGCATTTAAACATGTTCTTGCACACGTTTCCTGGCTTCATCTCCACCCGGGCAGACATTTTTATGGAAAGCCAATAGAAGTTTGGGGCTTGCAGGGAACAGACACGTCATACCCAGCATCATTTCTGCCAGTTGAGCGCATTGCTAGAAGATGTGTGGTTAATACATCCTCTGTGCATTTAAGACCAAAGAAAAGGTCACTGTAGTCCTGCCACTATGCACTGTAGTTGAGCTCTAGGAGACTGATCTCTGCAGACCCCTCATGCTGATTCAAATGTTGTTTGCATGGAATGCTCATTTTACCTTGATTAAAACTCATTTTTTAAAGAAGTTATTTTGTGTATCTTTTTTACATAACATTTGCCATTGCTAATGGCGTACACTGTAATCTAGCATATTTTAATTAAATAAATCTATTAAAGCTAAAATGTAAGAGTCTATAATTAGGCTACTGAGCCTGATCTATTTGTACCACAGATTTTCTTACCTTTTAAAAAAATGTCACCTGGGCTAAAACTCCCTCTGCGACCCTGATTTGCATTTGTATAGCTCACCGCATTTTTCATTTACATGTCAAAGCCTCCCCTAGAATTAGGAGGAGGGGGGTCATGGGGGGACAACTGCCAAGGGAGGCCCACGTCAATTTCTGACAATTTCCGGCAGCTTTCGGCGTTGCCCGCAAATTGCAGCGAACAGCCGTAAACCTGAAATTCCACGACAATCTACAGTGCCGCATACTAACGAAAATCCCCCTTTTCATGCAGGGCATATATACTACTGACTACCGTTTTTGATACAATGATCTCATCAGTCTGCCGGCTTTTTCTTGCGCCATCATTCAGACTTAATGACCACTGTTTGTTTCAGTATTGTGTCATGTTTCATTTTGGTTTTTCACTGTATATGCAGAAAAGTGCAGATCCTTTGTTGTGCCTCTGCTTTTGTGTGTCACCCATGTGCAGCTATGCTTTTCCATTGTGGAAACATCTTTTATTTCATCTTTACTTGTGACGAGTGAAATAGTGGAAAACCCCTGCTCGTCTACAGAGGCTGATTCTAGACTTTTATTACAACATAATCATTTGCTGCAGACATTTCCTGTTGTAAAATACTTGGTAGCTATTTGAAGACTGTAGCTAATTTCCCTAAACCCACATCTAAACCCCCCAAACGTTTTGGAAGTTTATTTCCAGAAAACCCTGTCGCTGTTTATTTTTAAAACAGCTGTGTGTATCCACGGTTTCCTCGGTTTGCATTTCGTTAAACACTGAAAAAAACCCGCCTCCTTTAAAGTTTTAAATCGTTTTAAAGTTTTGAGGTGTAATTTGTTTTCCAATATGAATTTCTGTGTCTTCTTATTCAGAAATGTACATTCACACGTTTTACTGTTTCCGTTTTTGCCGAGTTCAGAGCAGCTGTCACAAATAAACCTTTCGTTGCCTCAGCTTGCTCACGTCCAAACTTTCATGTCTATTCTTAACTTTATTTTACTTTACCAGAAGACTGTCGCATCTTGTCAAAACAACATGAACAAATCACATGGCTAGAAGCGCATGACACGCTGCCTCTTCATCCAAAGAGCTCTTGGAATAATTCAAATTATTGAAAGAAGCATTTTGTAGCAGAGACATTTTCAAAAAGCAAATATCAAGAAAACTTCTACAAAACCTAAAAACTAAACTGGACTTTGAGACATTAAAGACACAATTTGAACTTCTAACTGATGTATTACTTTGACAGATCAGCCTGGTACAGCCTTTCAATAGACCAATATTTTGTGTCTGGTATTACTAGGTATCTCTGATGTAAGAGAGACATTAAGACAGCCATGTGACTTTCTCCATCGGTCTCATCCTGTTAATAATAACTTGAATAAACCTAGTTTTATTTCTGGGATTGTGAATAGTACAATGGTTTAATGTATTGATTATTATCATTACTATTACAGGCACAAAATACTTCAATCAAAATCCACAAATATCTATCAACCTACATTGGCTGAAATACTAACCAACTCTCTACACAAGTATAAGTCATACGTCATTATAAATGGATAAAGGCATTTCTACTGCTCTCAGTGTTATTGCACTGAAACTGCTGCTAACTTCAACTCTAAATTCATTTAAAGCACATCATTATGAGGTTCATTTCTTACAGCTTTAGTCACCAATACATTCATTTAGAAAACAAACAACTAAGCTCTTCTTACTACCAAAACGTGGCTACAACCTGACCTCAGTCTAGTACAGTGGTGCAGAAGAAGAGCAGGTATTCTTTGAGAAAAGTTCACATTGTGAGTTTACATCTGCCCAACTGTGTGCAAACATTCCTGTGTGAACAGCTGGTGCACTCCCTCTTTATGCTCACAGGAGCGCAATGCGATTCAACGTGCTCTCATGGTAACTCTAACCTTATCGCTTGGCAGCTCTGGTTGACTCGACCTTTGGAATTTTTTTGCTTATGAATAACCTGTTTTACACCGGGGACTTTATAAGAATCTACAAAAGCGTAAAATGTTCTCTGACAGAGGAAACTTTTGTTATCACAAGTGGAACGTCATCTCAAACAAATAGTTTGACCGACGATTATTCTCCCTGATTATTAAGTGCTTCCATTTTGTGGCCCAATAAGTGTCTCACAGGAGCCAATAATTGAGCTGCTCCTTGTGATGTTGGCATGCTGGGTAAATAACACACCTGTATACAGCCCTGTTCATTGATGAGTCCTTGATTAACGGCATCTAAAAATGTGTCCTGACTCCTTCATTTATGACTGGAAACATGTTATAAAGTCAGTGAAATGCATGGACTTTTAGAGCGGAGCATCTCTGTGTAAACCAGTAAAAAAAAAAAGGCTGCCACGGAGAAATCTAATTAAAAAAAGTTAAACCACACCAGTTAAACAAGTCACTAAAAGAGCTTGAAATAGAAAAAAGTCAATTTGCTTTTCCAGTTGCTGAAAATAAGTTAATTCAAGTTTCATAAAAGTACGGTTACGAGAAAACGGTTTGTGTGAAGTGTTTTTCTCCTTCTGGGTCTCCTCCCTCAGCCACAGGTGCCAGTGTGGAGCCGCAGCGCCCCCTGTCTGTGCAACGCGCTCAGCGTCCTGAACTCCAGGGGCATGGTGTGAGGACTGGAGCTGGACGTGTACTCGTACTTTAGAGCGTCGTAGTAGTGGTACTTGACCGGTCTTCCCTGCGGGTCGTGCCGGAAGGGCCAGAAGCCGTAGAGATGGATTTCTTCGCAGAAGCGGGTGGCCATCGTGTACATGAGGAGCCCGGTGGTCGGACGTTTTATGTGGACATTGTTGGTTAACCAATACCTGTAGACAAAGACATGTTGCGTGTGATTGGATGCATCCAATTAATCGATAATGTCACCTAGAATGACAGCAAAGGGAGGAATGTGCTCCACTAAGCTCGGCACATTTAAGTCCCTTTTCGTTAGAAGAAGAAGAAGAAGGAGAAGAAGAATGCTACAAAAATATCCATTTAAACATTCTGGTTCTAGCTTCTGAAATTGTTTGCTTTTTACACAAAAAAGGAATGTCTGTGGGCTTTGTACTGTTCATTGGGAAACATTTTGGGCTCTAGAAAATGGCATCATCTGTGTGAAAGTGCAAGAACCAACAATGATTGATCAAGAGACGTGCGCACACTTACTGCATAGATTTAAGTGTGCAGATATCTCTTCTGGAGACAGACAATGAAAATAATCCTTCCTTGCACAAAACAGTAACACATTTCCTGGCCCAAAAACCCTGAGACTCGTGCAGCCATCTGCACAGTAAACAAATAACATTCACGTGTCTTGGATCTGGACTAAGTATAATAGATGTTTCTCTACAAACTGGCGCGGTTCTGCACAATTGCATCCTCCGACAGTGAAATGCCGGATGACTCCCTCGGGAGCAGCTCCAGGGACAGGTGGTCAGACGTTACCTCGCCGCACCTTCATTTTCCTTTCCAGTCACTCGTCTATTTCTCCTGCCTGGAGGCTACTGCTGCCTCCTCAGGCTGTGCTCTCCGCGGTTCGGTGTGGAAGGTCACATTGAGATGCAGAGGTTGTACTATTCAAAGTAGTTTGTGTGACATGAAGGGCAGAAACTCTGCAGTGAAATGGTCTGATGGAGTGAATTATGAGCAGATGCTTTAACTCTGGGGCACACACACGAGCTTTGAAGCTCAGTCTTACTGAGAAAACGACAAGGTCAGGGGGAGGATTCATCTGACACCGCATTAAAAAAAGGACAAAAGCGTTGGAATTATTTACGAAAAGATTTCTCTTGTAAAACACTAAGCAAACTGACTAAAAACGATGGCCCGGTTCGACCCCTCTGCAATTAGTTGTGTTAGTTGTGGCGTAAACTGACCAGCGGTTGTTGGTCTTTTCCATTAAAGCAGGAAAGAAGCAGAGCACAGTGTGCTTGTGATGAGGGGCAAGGACAGCAGAACAAATTGCTCAGAGCGGTTTTGTGGCAGCCTGAAGGCAGTGGATGCTGTATTTTAAAGATGTGCAAAAAAAACAAACTAAAATGATCCAGTTCTAAAATATGTCAAAAAAGGGTTATCAAAATAGAATTGTCCTTTATACCACAGCTCAACAGGTTATAGATTATTAATCAATATCTACATATCCAAGCAACGGAATTGGATAAAAAGAAGTGAGCGGTACTTTGTGATATTTTACCACTATTTGCAGAGAGTTAAAGGAGAAAATCCATACCGCGAAGAAAACCCTCAGCACTTTTTGTCGACTTCAGCTGGTTGCTTGGTAACCTCACCGCGACGACACGACTACGGGAACGCACTGCACCGGGCTTTTGTTTAACAAGAAATTGCCAAGTAACGAGGTTGCCAAAAGTCTGTCTTACTCTGTTTTGTGCCACAATTGTGCAAATGCTAGTTTAGCGTTTCCACACTAAGCTCACTTCCTCACTCCTGCTTCCTACTTAAAAACACAAACGAGATTAGTTTTATCGACCATCCAATCCGACTCTTTACAAGAAACCCAATAAGTGAACATCCCCAAATGCTCACCAGTTATTTAAGGGCCATCAATAAATCATAAAACCCTGACATGTCTACCTGAACTTCACTTCCTAATGACTCCAGGTGCACAATGAAAGAAGACTCAGGACATCAGCTGTAATGTTCTGCTTAGGAACAGCCACCAGGGCTGCAGATTAGAGCCAGCCAACCACCCCCCATTATAATGCCCCTTAACCAGGAGGAGCCCGATCAACCTCTCACCCTCTGACGGCGTGGAGAAGGCGCAGCGAGGGGACGGCGGTGCGCACGTCCACAGTGTGCGACAGGATGAGACGGAGGGCCCACTCCACGCGCTCCTCTCCCCCCTTGGCCATGAAGGCCGGGATCCACAGCACGCTGCCGCTGAGGCTTTGCAGGCGCTGCAGGAACCGATCCCGCCACTCGTCGCTGACCAGGTCCTGGAATGCTCGCTGCACCACCGACGGGTTCATGGTCACCAAGTTGGTCCGCCGCCCCACGTCCAGAGAGTAGTCCTCCACTGGTGCCAGGTTGCACCTGAGAGAAAGCAACACAACAAAGACGATTTCAAAGTCAGCAAATGGGAAATAGTTTCCTTTGTGTCTGGTTTCTGTCTTAGATTTGAGCATCTCTGCCACACACGTTTACAAAGACACGTTTTCTAAATGAACAAAACCATTTCTGAGCAACCAACCCAGCTTCAAAAACCCGCTTGGTATATAAATAGGAACGTTTTTTGGGAGGGGACAGGTCTGTAGCATGTTAGCTAACACTGCCAATTCAGTTCAGAGTCACGGAGTGACAAAGGTTTGACATCACACACTTAGCCGGCGCTCAAAAGCATGTTCGTAAATGTGAAAAGGATTCATATGCTCTGTCGCCAGACTCACAGCGTGAGCCTCAAGGAAAAGCCAAGAATCTTCACTTTAATCATATATCTCCTTAAAGTGAGCCATTCGATATACCAGTTTCGACAGATCTTTCATTTCGTGAGGTGATTACAGTGACTGCTACTCTGTAATGGAGAGAGATATACATATCTATCTATCTATCTATCTATATATCTTTTCAAAAGTCTTGATCCTCCGGTAGCGCTTACATTACTGAGCCACTTATATTTAAGTTTTGCCCTTAAGTCTACGCTCCATCTGTTTATGTCCTCTAGCTAGTGAAGACTTTTTGCCTTTCAGAATTTTCTAATGAAACCGCAGAAATACAAGTGAAATTCAACAGAAAAGCAGCATGGCGTTTTGTTTACTGCTGTTAAACTCGACCTCCAAGTAAATACCAGAAAACGACGGTTAGACGGCAATTACCTTCACAATAAAGCAACTCTATTCTCTACGGTGTGGGAGGGAAACAAAGCACCAGTGCCTGTTTTTTAATATCTTAACATAATCCAAATTAAAACTTGGTCACTGTCCAGTGCGCACCTATGAGCACGCAAAACATCAACAACAATTAATTTCATTAAGTTTCATCCAACAATTCCAAATCAGAAATAGACTCATGACTTCCAATAAATTGCTCCAGTATGCCAAATTGTTCCATTACATCATAACAACTCAGCTGGAAATGATCTTGAACCCAAAATACCGTCTCCCTAATCTGTGGAAACCCCCCATGGGGCAAAGGACTATATTTAGCAGAGGCATTATCTCTGCATGGGATACGTGCATGTCAAGAGAAAATTCCTTAGCTTCTCAAAATGTCTCGTTCCCTCTTGTCTGCCTTCAGCCGACTATTAGCGGCGCCCGGCGTTATTATCCCGCTGCTGTGGTCTAGAAATCATGACCCGTCCTCATCAGCATCGCAGCACAAGGTTCGCTCAATTTCAGGGAAAGTGACACAAAAAAGGATTGAGTGCAACCACAGACGGATTTCTTTTCCTCCAATAACAAGTGAATAATGATGAATAAGGCACTCAGCGACTCCTTAAACACAAGACAGACCCCGCTGATGGCTTCTAAACACAATAAACGAGAGCGGGACCCCTGGAAGCACTGGCTTTTCTCTAAAAAGGCACAATGTGTTTCAGCTGGATGCAGAGGCCTTTCAAAATGTCAATACGATGTATAATCATATATTTAATTGCTCTCAGTCCGGCTGCTCATTTCTAACTTTCAATCACTAAAAGGCAGTTTTTTTCAAAAGTGCATGTAATATATTTCCAGCTGTGTGAGCAACTCTAAACCAGAGTTAAACGGAGAAAGTGATTATCATTCCAATGTGAATTATACTCAGTAGAGTGAGAAAAACCTAAAACTACGGCTAAAGTGCTCATTAATTTCAACGGTGCAATTAGACTCACGTGTTTTGATTTGGAAGCTTTCCAAACCTGTAATCACTGATTTCACATTTCTGAGAAGAAAGAAAAGAATACCTGATAACAAAGTCGTGAGAGTCGATGTCGGGTCCACAGCTGCTGTTCAGCAGAATCCCAGAGTTTCCCACAATGGCGCAGCGCCTGTGATGTTGGTTCTTCATGGGAGATGCAGTCGGCAAAAGACGATATAGATTTTCTGAGACGTTAGTGGTGCTGTGGGGGTCAAACACGTAGTGGATGATAGCTCCTGGTTTCAGCGTGCCCTTCAGAATAGAGATGTCCCTCTCCGGGTCGAGAAACCTCAGAATGTTCTTTCTGCGAACGGAGAAAAACGCACAGTACATGTGAAAGACTCTGCCGAGTGGCGCGTGAGACGAGACAGCGGCGCAGAGCGGGAGGTTTGCCTGATGAGGTTGGAGAGGGTCTTGTTGAAGGTCCAGTTGTTTGGCGGGAGCCCGGCAGTGTTATTGTAGCTGGAACTTGGATGATTTAAGCCTTTGCTCAATCTTGTCAAAGCCGTCGGATCCACGCGCGCTGCAGCCTTTCTGAATGACAACAGATTGTTGACACGTCATTGTTGATATTTACTCCTACTTCAAATCTGAATTATTCATCCACCGCTTTCTACAGACATAATTGACATGGCACAAACACAATCAGGTTGATCTCATTTACTATTTCATCCAGCGAAATGCTTTTGTTATCACATGATACCACCGCATTGATGGGTATTTATAGCAGCTGCTTTCTCCCTGTAAAAAGTAATGAGACGCTCACTGTGAATGACTCACTGTGAAGGCTGCAAAGTGCCCAATGACAACATATAAAAATGAAATATAAAGACCAGTAAGCTCTGCACTGGTGCTCTACAGCTGCATGAGTGTGGAGAGAATTGGATTACAGACCTGTGCGGTTTAGGGATGAGCCGATGTAACTTCATCTTCTTTGAATGTCCATTATTTCTACAAGGGGAAAAAAAAGTGGTTTGTATTGAATTATGAATCACACACACTGCAGCACAGAGGCTTGGTTGAAAATGGACTGATAATTAGAGTCCTTCCTGTAATCATGTACTGCAACAATAATGCACCCACTGTCTCCAATCCCAGATGCACTGTGCTTCCGTCTTTTCAGGGAAAAAAAATAAAAGGTGGGATAGCATCCATCAAGGTGTTCTTAAAGCAATGCACCGGGGGCCCATTTTCTGATGTAATGGGGAGAAATGGGGCCTTAATGGAGCCCCATTATACTGAAAGGAGCAATCCTACCGAAGGGAGCAATCTTTCAGAAGGGCGTATACACCATGCAACCAACACGCGTTCACAGTAAACATACTACATCTGCCAGTTATTTAAATGACGACCCTGTGGCAAAACAAGGACGAGCTGTCAGTGGAAAACTGAAAAGAAAAGTGCTAATCTGACGGGGCGCTTCTCACTCGTTTTACAATCCTGGTGCCTTTAAATAAATTTTAATCGGGTTAAAGCTACATTTATGCAGAAGTTGAATTCGTTCTGGTTTTTCTCCCACCGGGAATCACAAACCAATATGACCCCCATACAATGTGAGCCACGGCCGAGTGATTGCATTCAAAGCAAAATGTTCCTGCTGAAAGGCAGATGTGATTATCCGAGTGTCAGGGATGTGGGGAGAAGACAGGACTCAAATGCAGAGTTGAGTAACAAAAGAAGACTTTAATACTCATAACGGCAAAACGCAAAAGGCCAACGGGCAAAAACACACAGGAACCAGGGGAAAACCAGCAGGCAGGAACTACGACCATCCTCGACGATGGACAATGACTCAACAAGTGACGCAAGTGACACACGGCTTAAATACACTAGGGAGGTGCAGGTGATTGGACACAGGTGGAAACGATTAGACGATCACAGGGGATGACAGGACAAGGCAGGAAGTGAAGTTACCCGGGGACACGAGTGGCAGAAAACTACAAAATAAGACAGGAACTGAACCACACCGTGACAGAAAGCTGCACAGAGAAATAGAACAAACCACTTAAAGCAGCGGTGATAATGAGGAGAGGCAGAGAGGGTTTGTTGCACCTTCAAGGTCTGCACGGCTGTTTTTTTTTATACATTTGCAACAATTCATTTTAGTCCTCAGTTAAGGATGAATTAATGCAGGTCAGACACAAGCGGGGCACGAGAGCGACTTGGAGGATGTCTGCTGCAGAGCTCAACATTTCAAGGAGTGGAAATGAAAAAGAAGAAAGCTTCGTTTGTTTCCAATCTGTTGCTCCCCCCCAACCTGTCTGTCTCTAACACACACACACACACACACACACACACACACACACACACACACACACACACACACACACACACACACACACAGACACAAAGTCTTCTCCTATTCTGAAAATGTATCCCGTCCAGCATGCAGGCTGCTGCAGGACAAATAGCCTGATCCCTGGAGACCCGGGCAGGCTGCTGCTGCCGGAACAGCTGCTACTGCTGCTGCACCCAAGTGTTACAAACAGAAAGCAAGCGCACGTTGTGTGCGTCCAACTTGCATCCAATGACGACCACCTCTTTTATTTCTTGTTTTGCCCCCGGTGCCACTTCAAAGATCCGATCCTAATAGGAAACAACCTGCCGGACAAGAATACAATGCACACATGCACACACGCGCGCACGCGTATGCGTTGGGTCCTACTTACGGTGTTTCTTTCTCCACTTCTGCGATATCATCAATGATCAAAACCACAGCCAGCAGCGTTACAAAGCCGAACAACAACGTGCGGAATACAAGCGACATGGTTGAGTGCTGGGGAGGGAGAGAGGGAGGGAGAGAGAGAGGGAGGGAGGGAAGGAGAGAGGGTGGGTGGGTGGGGGGGGTGCAGCCTGGAGTCCCTCTTTTCTGCAAACACTCTGCGTTACATTAGTCTCCTCGTGTTCCCCACGTATTAATCCAAGATGCGCTCAGCCATTGTTCTTATCGCCGGAGTCGGACGGTCCTCAGCGAGCTGCGCCCCCTCCCTCCCTCCTCCTCCCCCCCCAATCCACCCACCTCCACTTCTGGAGGAGGAGGGTTTTTCAGTGTCGGTTTCCCGGCGGGGCGATGCTGCTGCTGCTGCTGCCGTCTCCAGCGTTACACCCCCCGCCCCGCCCCCCCTCTCTCTCTTATTCCCCAGTCAAACTTGAAACTTGAAAGCGTGCCGGCCACGGGAGCAGCGATATGGAGACCCCCCCCCCTCTCCTCCTCCCCCCTCGCCCCCCTGCACGGTTTAAAGGCGCAGCGGCAACCAGCTCTTCCCCCTCCAGGTGTAGTCGGCTCACCGAAGGGGGGGTGGGGGGGTCAGACAGGTGCACCGGGCAGGTTGGCAGCGAGGAGGACAATGGTTGTCTAATGTGGGATTATAATAGAGGTCGAAGCCTGAGAGAAGCTCACGTGGCCCCATTTAGACAAGCGCCCAATCTAATGGGGACATCTTTTAATAGCTCTGGTCACCAGCGGAGGGTTGAGCTATTTTTATTTGACTTAAAACTACGAATGCTTTGTCCAAGGTTAAACTAGTTAGTCCCAATTTGGATTTTGGCCGCTTTCACACCCTTGAAATAAAGCACTTGACGCCCGTTGTCACCAGCAGTTCCACCAAAGACTGGTTTCCTTTCTGGAATTTTCATGCGGTTTATGGAAAGGACTGTTCAAGAACTAACAATGTCAAATCATTCAAATATTTTTATTGTCAATTACACAGGCCCTGTGTATTGAAATTCTTGTGCTTGCCTTTTCTGGAAAGCCGACCAATTTTAAAATAAAAATAAAAACACAATATTTACATAAATGTACATGAAATAAAAATAAAAATGAGGTAAGGATAAGGCAGAAATGAGGTAAGGGGATCATCTCAAAACAGCATCAACTAAAGGGAAGGAAATAGGAATATGCGCTGCACAGCTTCTTCTTTCCAATCCAATCAATCACTAATGACCCTTTAGATTTGTCTTGTGACCCGATGGAGAGGGTCTGACCTCTCGATTGGGAACCACTGGACCAAATATAAAGTTGTTAAAGCCAGCTCCACCTCTAACGGCTGCAACACTTTGGGCTTTAAATGAAGGCCTTTAAAGGAAGTATTTTTTTCGTTGTTGTTATTTGGAATAAAAATACGCTGTTGCCGGTTTGTGGTGCATTTAACAGAATAAATTCATGTTGGACACCACTCAGGGAATTTCATTTATTGTTTTCTGCAACAAAGTGCAGCTGCAGATTCTGGAAAAAAAAGAATCAGAACATACATCTTTGTATTACCGTCACTACCACCAGCTCTGCTGCGTCTGCACTTTTTGTTGTTTATATATTTCCTAAAGCCTTTGTTTATCCTAAAAAGCTAGCAGGGCATATTTTCTTGCAGTTTCATGCTAAAAGTTTGCTGCACCTCGGCACGTAAATGTTAAAGGTGGAGTTCCAATATATTTCCCCTAAAAACAATAATGTACATTCACAAATTGCTGCTCGATTAACCAGTGATTAAGAATAGAGTATAAAAATGTGACTTTAATTATCCATAAGTTACAAACATGTGGGCACAATGGTCATTTTAATCATTTCAGCTTCACTACACTGAAAGCCGTCAGTAACTGTGTGAGAACGCTGGGCCACATTTGAAAGGCTATTGTGCTCATGTCTTAGATAACAAATAAATGCCGTATTTCAGAGTATAACTTATTTAAAGCACATTGGACGTTTGTTCATCATCAGCTTCATCCTGCAGGACTTTCTCTCCGTCCTGCTCATCCTCATACAACGATCATCTCCTCCCTTGCACATAAGACTTCATAGTCTGAGTGTTGAAAATAACACTCACATTTTCAGCTCAATCATATTATAGTTGAGCACATGGCTAGTGTGGATTTAATAGCAAATGAAGCATTAATCAGTTACAGCAAATGAAAGGGTTAGGTCGGGCTTTCTCAAATGAAGTGCATATATTATCTACACAATTCTATTTTATAGACATGGATGAAGGGCTAATTTACATAGAGTGAAAAGTGCAGCTGCACGGAGCCTCGACATCATGCGCATAATGACATGACTCATGTTCATAGTGCTGATTCACATACAGTATTCTGCGTTTACGTCGCCTTCACTAAAGTGCTGTGATGAGAATCTCCCATTTGCATTGACGTTCTGCAGTTTGGGATGTTGTTGAAAAATAAGCATCTAAACGTCAGCAGAATGAACTCAGCCACTCACTCACTCCACTAATTTAACATTCACTGAAACAAAAACATTACACCCCTCAACAGTATGAAAAGGACAGGAGTCAAACTTCAACAGGGACGATTCATTGCTTTGTTTTTTCCTGCATTAGTTGTTGTGCAACAGTTCAATTAGGCCAATTGATGCCGCTAGATTAAAAGAGAAAACTCTTCCCTCCTGCAGCAGCTTCTATTTAGGTTGCTTGCTTTTTGTGCCCCTTTTGACTTTCAACAAGGACGCGTGTCCCAGAGTCTCGTAGTTGTGTGTCTTTGATGTGACGAGCGTGAGGAGTGAGTAAGCACCAGAGAGCGACGTTGAGGGAGATGCTGCTGACACTGTACCTCTTGTCATACACCAGATTTGTAAAAATCTTTCTGCCTATTATTAAACCTTTCAACCACAGCAACACACTACGCTCTCTTGTCTTTTAAAGTGTGTTATATTTGGATTCAGAAGATGTAAGAAATTATTAATACGACACATTCTGACAGGAGACTTTTTCTGTCCTCGGTACACAAGCCAAACACTGACATCACATAAAGTTGTGATTTACTATTCATTTTTTACATGGTATTAATAAAGTATTCTATCCCAGTGAGATATTTCATACAGTAAAACTATTGCGATTCAATCCATTTCAGCTGACTGTTTTGATCATTTGGAAATAAGCAGTAATAATAGATAAGAGATCATTGGAAAAAAAAACGGGCCTTGATGAGTATTTTCCCACTAAAACGGAAAGCTTAGATTTGTCTCAGATGTTTATCTGCAGAGGGGCTTCAGCCTTAACCAATTTAGAAAATTTCAAGCACAAGCTTCTCTGATCAGTCTTCAACTTCAAAGCACATGAAACGTGCACCGCGTGAAAGCAAAAAACACAATAAGCCAAACTACCGCTGAGCCTCGTGTCAGCCTCTATCTAATTGGCTACACGCAGGTGTGCAGCTACCCTGTTGAAGGATTCAGGGTGACCTTTTAAAACATTTTAGGAATATGGTTGTTGGCTTCAAAGAAATGTCACCTCATTTCACGGCCAACATGTTGCAGTCAAAGCTCCAACTTTCGGTATATGTCAGTTTGGTTGATAAGATATGGGATGAATGTCCCAGCATGATATTAGGTGCACTACCACAAAAGGCCAAAACAACAAATGCTCCCAAAATGATGATTTATTAAGTACAATCCCCCAGATGTCATTATGCCATGTAGCAGCTAAAATAATAATTATAATAATTATATATATATATATATATATATATATATATATATATATATGTCTATAGTATATAAAACAACCTCTCAATATTCTCACTGGCTCCTTTTTGAATAGCGGCTGAAGGATATAAGATAAACTAGAAGATCTGCTGAATCACAACCTCAAGTCTTCGGTCTGCATTATTTAATCAAAACGTCATTTTAATGAGTGACGTAGTATTATATTGAGAATCTGTGATGAGTCATGAATAAATGTCATGCGCTTTCTTCTTTGAATATTTGATACAAAACACTGTCCTTCTATGCGAGATAGTAGATGAAAGTGGAATATTCATCGTAAAACACATTTTTTGCTCAGCTCATAGATTGTTTCATTAATCCTGTTTTGTTTCTACCATGTCCATTTCCCGTATTGGACTAAATGTTTTTTTTTAATGTTATTTGGTTGTGAATATGTGCTGGTTGTGTGTAAGCACATGACTGAAAACCAAACGATGTTCAAAGCACTTTCAAAAACACTCGTATTAGAATTTTTCTGAAAAATAATTTATTTCCAGAGTAAAATAAATGAAATGTTTCCATACAAAACGTGTAAGAAAAGGGACAATGTCAAAACTTTAAATGTAGAGGGATCAGAGAAAGGGTTGTACAGTGTGTAAAGTCGTGTTGATGAGACAAAGACTCAGACAAAATTCAGTGTGTTCTTTGTTGTTCACTGTGTTTGACCGCGCACACAAAACCCCCACTCTTATATTTCTGTATTATTTATCCATAATTAGGGCTGCACAATTTTGAAAAATGAACCCAAATGCGGTTTGACCGATATTGAATTTGGAATATTAGTGGAAGTGATTTTTTTTACATCATCATTCTCATTTTTGCTGAAAAGAAATGTGTTACGATGGCGTAATGTTTCGGGGGGCTCTGTACCAAACCAATGAAATATTTTTTTGAGACAGATTTAGTTCGTACAAATATTGTGCAAAAGGCAATTTGGAAATTGCAACCAGTCATACTGGTATTTCAATAAACCGTTGTGCAGCCCTATTCCAGACATTACGGGACTAGGTTTTATTTGGTTTGCACCAATATTGCAACATACTATTTATGTTACATGAATTGTCCCAAATCTACTATGACATCAGACACACATCTCAGACAATTAGATTATATTAAATTCATACTATATTTAATAAATCATTCTGGGCTTAATACGACTAATATATTACTCCCCATATCTTTTACTTGAATGTCCAATATACATAGAAATACCACTCTTGATTTTCTAGTCTGCTTCTCCACTAGGTGCAAAAGATACAAGAAAATATGATTAACATTCTTATTTGAATAATCCCTTATTAAGACATGTTAGGCTGGATAAACTCTGCGGATGTAAAAACGTATATGGAAAGAAAACAGCTATAACGGCTATAATGAAAAACAAATCCGCGGTCTGACACAAAACTAGTAATAAACATTGATGTGTCAGATGTGAATTGCACATATGCATCTATGAGACAAGACTTCACGGTCTAGTCTAAACAGTATCAAAAACAGTGGCTGGTCCAGCAGGAGAAGCAGAAACTGAACAGTGCATGATTACATGAAAACACCACCTTGTTTAAAAGGTACTAGAGTTGATTTTGGACAGTTAAAGCATGTAGTAGGCCACTATACAGTTTCTGTTCTCTTTACATAAGAAACTTTCCTGCATTGAATTCAAATGCATTAACTCAACTATTAGTTTGTAAACACGTGGCAACTTTTAAATATGAATAGCTGAAGAAGTTTCTTCTTTTCTTTCTCACGTTTGAGAGCATGACAGACAGAACACACAGTGCACTGGCTGAAAGGAAACTGCCACTGTTCACACAGAACACTGGAATGGTGACAGACCTAAAGCAATATGGCAACTAGTTGTAACGGCCTCGTGTCCACGCACTACTAATCGGCTAGGACTGAGCCGGACAAGTGCTTTAGTCTTTCCTCTGCCACCGGGGCGGACGCAGGAATTCCCCGGCGGCACTGGACGACACCTCGCTGACGCGTAAACGACTACGACGGGCCCCCGGAGCGCTTACCGAAGACGTGGAGGCGCAACGCCACCTGCGACGGGCCACCATCAAAAACAACTCATTTTTATCCTTTGGAGGAAATTAAAAAATATATATATTCTTTTGAGGGAATACGAAAGTCCACGTTGTCTAGAACTATAAAACGGACTCCATGTTTTCACACACCTCGTGGTTCTCCAGGTTGTATATAAACTTTGTCCGGTCGACCAGCTTGGGGCCGTCCGTCAGCGAGGGGTAAAACTCGGTCGCCGTCATGTAGCCCTCGTTACTTTTGATGTACTTTTTGTAATTCCTGCGTAAACAATACCACGTGGTGGCGTAGAGGAGGAAGGCCACGCCCTTGAGCATGATGGCGAGGCTCACGTACAGATGCCTGTAGGCCACGTTGTCGTACAGCAGGCAGGCGCCCCGATCGCCGCAGTCTGAACTCCAGAACAGGCAAGTAGAGTCGATCCCGGCACCAAATACCAGAGGAGGGGGGATGAATCCTGTCAAACAGAAACACTCGCTGAGCACATGGACTTGTGACAAAAAAATAATAATTCATAAGATGAGAAAGACTACTTAGCAATTTGAGGGTCAACTTCAAATAACTGGGTGGCCTCTTTTTCGTCTGTTATCTAGATTTTTCCTTTTTAGTGTTTATATTTCTTTTCTTTTGGGAAATTATTTTTATATTTGGATGTTAAAATTGGTTCCAATCTCATAAATGTTTGGTAAACAGCTTAGCACAAAAAATATATTATATAATTTAATATCCCCTTTTTTTAATTACTATATAAACATGTTACACTTCCCAAACACAAAGATAATTAAACATAATATATAATTTGTGCTCTATAAAAGTAGACCCACGGTACTTTTAGATAACTAGATTTAGTCCTTAATTATATTATAATACAGGCCCCGATCGACCTGAGATGCTTTGCCTGTTTTATCCCCCACACAGACAAATCAGATCAGCCAAATTGCATTAGAGTTGATGACACAAGAAAAACAAAATGCATATTCAGGTCAATTTAGTCGAGTATTGATTGGAATGACGCGATTGCTCCCCAGATTATCTGAGTGAGTGAGTTCCGTGAAACCTACACACGCTCAACGACCACTTCGGCAAATGGACCAAGTCTTGAGTATTGAGAGACATGCTACAACATACTATCTGAAATGTGTTATCTGGTAAAATGTCTTACCGAGGAGCCGCAGCAAAAGAAACAACACTCCAAGTGCATACGATTTCAGCTCGGGGCTCACAGTCCTGCACGGCAGGCAGATGGAGTACATCAACAGTTGTGTTGTTATTAGATCCGATGCACGAACACACATGTCCACAAACAACGCACTCGCCCACGCGTGTATATCCGACGTACCTGATTAGGATGATGACAGACGGCGTCTGGGCCATGGCTCCGACCAGGCTGCAGGCACAGATCACGCACAGGAAGATGAGGAAAGACTCCTGGCAGCCGGGCATCGGACATTTGCCCGGAACGGCTGTGGCCAGCTCGCTTTTCGAGGATACACATGCGCATCCTGTCAGGTTCTGTGAGGAGAAGAAGAAGAGGCTTCATGAAAAAAACATTTGAAGAAATGACATTACAAAAAACAGTAGAATTCAGTTATCTGCACTCTATACATGGACTGCAACATAAAAAGATCTCTTGCATGTGATTCAAATATAAAAGACACCAATCTGACGTCGATGTGATGGCTGATGACTACGACCCTCCTTCAGGTGAGCTTTACCATCAAAGCCCATTTTAAGTTTTGCCTCAAATGTAATTCATTTGCTGTCATTTTTTCCCCGCCGTGCACTCATTGTCAATGACAATTGTCAATTGTCAATGACAATGAGTGTCACTAATCGCTACCTCAAGGCTTAAAGGGTAAAGACCTGGAGGATGTTCGACGTGGTCCGAGAGCTGCTCGTCTGGGTGCAGCCGGCCAAGCAGGCAGACAGGTAGGTGACGCCGTTGGAGCCGCACACGGGGCTGATGGAGGAGGTGAAGCAGTTGCACTTACTGATGCATGGAGCATCTGGTTTCTCGCCCACTCGCAGCGTCCTGAACAGAGACACAAAGAGAAACCTGAGCTTTCCTCTCAAAATGTAAGTTCAAGTTATATCTGTATGTGGCACAAACACAATTGAGGAAGCACTTTTAAAAAAAACATTTTCAACTTTTAACATCTCCATGGAAACTGCAGGGCGGAAGCAGGCTGGGTTCAGGCTACTAAATTAAAATAAACACCTAAAGACAGTGTTTCACCAAACCACAGCCATCCGAAGGTAACTGTGTGGCTGCGTATCAGAGCTTAACACTTGGAAGAAACCAAAGTGTGCCCGTAGCACAAAGACCAAACCAGTCGATTGTGTTTTTAATTTTAAAAAGATACCGTGGATTAATTTAGATCTAATCTACGTGACATAAATGGATAAAAAAAGAGGCTCGGTGCAAATTAAGTTAATAACAGCCTTGTCTGTTGCATATTATTTTAGCTCCATCATGAGACCTGGACTGACTCAGTGAGCGCTGTCACGTCCACGGAGGAACACAAGGCCACAAATTATAATTAGACCAGGAAATTACATAAAGTAAACCAAGCCCAATGTGCTGCAATGATGGTCAGTGATAAGAATTTATATTGACACATTTGGAGCACATTCAATGGAGTCCCCTAACCTTTGCAGTGTTACTTTTCGCTGCTATAATGTGGTTTACTGCTAAGGTGGTTAAGTATCGCTTTCACAACCTGCATGTGAGTCGCTACAAAACCCGCTCTGTGATGAAACTTGAATCTTGGCTATTGCACTGTAGGTGATGCAACATGGTGACCTGTGGGAGGAGGAGCTGCTCCATATGTGGACATGAAGGGTTTAGTGTTAGGATGATGAAAACACTGCACTTCTCGGTTCGTCCCTATGCACTAATGGAAACAGAGTTGTAAATGTATATATTATATTTCTGCTAGTCATCTGTCCGGCTTTTCTCGCTTACTCGTTGCCGTACGTGACCGTCACCCCTGCGACGGGGCCGGTGTCGCAGCCCAGGAACAGGAAGGAGACGTAGCAGGCCGTGGAGATCAGGTTGACCAGCATGGCCATGCGGATGGCTCCCAGCGCCGACAAGTTCAGCTTCTTCACCAGCAGACCGCCCATGAAGATCCCCAGACATGCACATGGAATGGCTGTCATGCCTTGAGAAAGAAAGATAAAGGTGATTTTCATCATGCCGACACGGCGTCCACTGCACGTGTGTGCGCTCATGGCCGTTTGCTCCGGGCACAGACCTAGCAGCTGGTTTGCGGAGGATGTGGTGAGGTTGAACTGCTGCTCGAGGTATTTCCCCAGAAAGGCGGCGAAGCCGGCCACGACGGCGATCTCCATGCAGGCCGCCAGGACGATGCAGGTGAACACCGGGTTCGACAGGAGGTGCTTGGTCACGTTTGGGATCACTGGAATAAATGATGATCATTAGTAAGCTAGCATGTCGGGTAGCAGCACAAAGCATCCTCTTGTTGCCTTTAAGTCTGATTTGACACTTTTAATCAAAATATGATTCAATTATTTTTAGCAATACAACATCAGAATACGTGTCGTGTATTTTAAAGAGGCATTTCCTTGCAGGGCGGCTCTTGCAAACTCACCCCTGAGTTGCTGACAGCAGGTGGGGCTGTTGGCAGGCTCGTGGTTGTGTGCAACCCCATTGCTGGCCTTCTGGGTCTCGTAGTCGGCAGTGGCGGAGGGAGGGAGCATGACCTGCTCGCTCTCAGGCCCCTCCTCCCTCTCGCCGGTCGGCAGTGACTGAGGGAAACCAAACATGAAGAGAGCCGAGCAAAAGAGTAAGGCACCGCACAGCAGGAAGCCGGCCCACCAGGCGCCGATCCATCGCGGGTCTTCTGGAGTGAGGCCCAGCCGGTCTGCGGAGAGAGAGAGAGAGAGGCACGGCAGGGGGTCCATGAATCGCTCACACAGAGGAGCACGCCGAGGCAGCGCAACGGCGGAGGAGTATTGAGCTCACCGGTGTCAATGAAGAGAGCATCCACGTAGAACTTGGTACACAGGGAGCCAAGGATAAAACCACAGGCCGGCCCGAACACCAGAGTAGAAAAGAGGATCCCTGCGGGGAAACAAACAAAAACATCTTGTTTTATCAAGCGGTGCTAAATTCTTTCAGATTGACAAAAATAGGTCCAAAAGCGCTAGTTTATTAAAACCACAGCCAATATGTTGTACTGTAGGACACCAGCCAAAATCAATATTATCTCTTTGTAATGCTATAAAACACCTCTGATAGACCAAAAACGGGACCCTTTGTGTAAAAAACAAAACAAAAACGTGACATACATGATATTTGACTTCACCCTCTAAGCATCAGGAGTGCTTGCGGAGCCACTGGGACGTTTAGCGTCCCGCTCGGGGACACGTTGACATGTGGAGATTGAAAGTACGTCCCGCTCTGGTGAAGTCTCAAGTCAATGTCCCCATAACGGAAGGTTTCAATAAGATTTGAGTGGTTAAACCCAGAGAGAATTTGACATTTTAGCTTTGTTTCAACTCTACGTTGATGTGGCATTTTCGGTGTGAAGCGAGAAGGCAGACAGGGAAACGTCTTGGCTGTCATGAAAGATCATATCAGCGACAGTTAAAACCCCAAGACAAGGGAAGCGGCGGCAAGCAGTGACCGTACACGTTGTGATCACATGTGATCACGGCGCTCCGCCTCCCCACCCTCGGAGGGTGGTGCGCAGCACAGACAGACACAAGCGCACGCTGCGAGGACGACAAGCAACAACAGAATCCAGCTGTGGGCAGCCGGAGATAAAATGCGGAGCTGGATCTTGAATGCTCATTAGGGCGATGTCAGCGGAGGGGGGGGGGGGTGGAGGTGGTCACTGGCGCTGTGACTCATAACGAAAACTCAAATGCTCAATTTGGGAGAGTCGGTCTCGCTGACTGCATTTCCTGTGACGTGTTGGGTGTTATCAGTCAGCATATGAAAAAACAGACCTCGTCCGAAGTTTGAGACTTATAAACGCTGAACCGCTACAGATAAGTATCAAAAATGAAATAAAATGCTCTCTGCTTCTCCACTTCCTCCCCCTGGGCCTGCAGCATTAAAACCAAAAAGGGGCTTTTTACTATTGGCCCCAGCGTGTCTGCGATCAGCACACGGCCTCCCGTAAGAAGTCGTTTGAATGCCAGCAGCAGCCACGTAATGACCAAGCGCGGAAACTGTGACTAAGCTCTGCAGGACCGTGCTGGTGCTGAGAGCCCATGCACGGCCCGCTTCCCGCCTTGACCACCCACTTAGCAAGTGTCAAGTGGGAGTTTTATTCTCCACGTAGAGGAAATGGCTCACAGATTTTTTAGGTGCGGCTCCCTAACTATAAGAGTTTAGAGTAAAACGAAAGAAAAAGTGATTCATGTTGGTGTTAGAAACCGCTTTTCTTTGTTGTCTCGAATAGTCAGCGGAAACATCGGTGCGGTGAAGCCAGCGCGGAAAATAACCAAGATACACACATGTGTCCCCTTACAGCCTTGGAACCAAAATGTAAAGCAATTAAGCTCAAACAACAAGGTGTTTAAGTACGTTTTATAGAGACAGAGAGAAGGATTCACACCCACCGACAAACAGAGGAGCTATTGTGGCGCACGAGGAAGTGTTCACGAGTCAGTGATCATTACAGCACTGCTTCCCATAGCAACGACATCACAAACGCTTTTGCCACAGGAAACCTCAAACAGGATGTTCAGTGAAATCACCTCGCAGGAGACACACAGCGGCTCAGGTAGCTCGCGAACTGCTGCGTGCATTCATTTTCCACAGGGAGATCTGTGCAAAGCACCGGGCCGGGTCTCCTTGATGATAACCTTGTGGCACAGCGCGAGCCTGGTGGCGTGTGGCGGCGCTCACTGATCTATGAAGGGCCGTGCCTTCTCATCAACCCGCTGCTTCTGCACAAGAAACAGTGGTGATCTTCAAATGAGAGATGTTCTTAAGGTCAAAAACCAGCAGAGGAAGAGCACGCAGCAGGCAGAGGCCCCCACATTGGGTTTAGCCGGCATTAACTGCACTCCTGTAGTCGGAACATAAACAAAAAATAAAGTCAAACATTAGTTTGCTAGTTTTTTTTCAATGTTTTCTCTACCAAACAGAGACAAATCTACAGAATGTGAGGCGTTCCGGATGACAACGTTTCTTTTTAACTCTTCAAGAGAACTGGTACATGCTTAGTAGCACGGACCATCCGTTGAATTCTCCTCTTTGGCTTGAAGGGATAGGCCAACCTTTTTGGAAGTTGTATTAAAAATAAGAATAAGCATAATTCCCCCCCCCCCCCATGATGTCGTAACGTGGCTTCAGGTAAAATCTTCTGCATAGAGGTTATGTTGTTACACTACCTGCCATCCACCTCAGTGCTGCAGTTATAATTTCTCTCATTTAAAATAACCAACGTTTGCTCCCGGGTCGCCGATAAAAAGACAAGCGTGTGGCTGTAAAAGGCTGTAAAGGGATGCGTTTCATATTTGTCAGCACAAGATTAAGCTGAAAAAGGTTAAGCACATTAAATCTCCATGAAGGACCATACGCAACCACAGCCGTGGGTACTCTTTGTAACGCAACCACTTTTCTTAAATATCACAAAATCCATTATCCCTTCCAGCTGTTACAAGATGAGTACAAAAGGAAACTAAGTTGTTTCCCGTCAGTATCCCGTGAGTTATACTCTCAGGGGAGCGTGTCAGATGTAATTCCATAACAAAGCTACTATCTATTGTTTTTGTTTCCCTCGTGTTTGTTTAGAGACCAAAAGAGAAAGCGGGGAAAGATACTTTCCATGGCGCTCGTCCCTTTCCGGATATTACTTGACCCATAGAAACATCCCACACACAACGAACTAGATTTGAATAGTTGTCTTAAGGTAAATGTTGAATTTACCCACGCAGTCCCTTTATAGAACACAGAGGGAAGCTGCACACTGAACGTCACTTCACATCAAGCGCTTGTGGTGCAGCAAAAGAGGAAGGTCCTTGACGTCACGCATTGCGTCTTCACAGAAATATGATGAATGGTAAATGGACTTGTGAAGCTCTTTAACACTTCATACCGTCATTCAACCATTCATGCACATTCCCACCGTTCTGCTTCTTGCACAAGGACACATTGACATGGACCAGCGGAGCCACCGATCCCCCAATTCAAGGTCGACCTGGGCGAGTTTACGAGGAGGATTCATCTCATTTAAAAAAAAAAAAAATGTTTCTCTAGAAAAAAAGAAATTTGTGTCCTGTATTTTTTGTTAAATATGTGCCACTCTATCGTCTGGTCTTCTGTAGTGGCTCGGCCAAAACACTATGCAAAGATTGAGGCATAATGAAGGAGACGATGACTGGGGGGGGCCTGGGCACTCGCTCCAGAGACGAACAGGTGAAACCCGATTGGATGATGCCGCTCCACACAGACACGGGGTTCTCAACAAAGATAATTGGCATTTAACAGATCCACGCCCCAAAGTCACAGTTCTGCAGGCCTCCAGAGCCGGGTTGACATTGTGATTGAACTCAGCGTGAGGCTAGGAAGAAAAGCTCATGGTAATCGAAATGTCAGATGCATTCAGTGTATTTCATGCTCTCACTGTACAAAGGCAATCCCCCCCGCCCCCGACGCATTATCCTCCCCAAGATGGACCAAGCTAATAGAGCAGAGAGACGAGGCGACGTTGGAGGCCCAATCAGCTTGTGCCACATTCACGAGGACCCAGAATAAAACTGACTTTGTGTCAGAAGGTCAATAGAAGTCTAAAGCGGAAACAAGAGCGCCACAAGATTTAAAGAGCTTTCAAACAAAAAGTCCCCGTCGTGCTCGTCGAGGGAACATCAGGCGACAACATCCTCCGGGTAGGAGAGTGAAGACATTTCTAAGATTGAAGAGACTATTTCCTGCATGTCCACTGCAGTAAGGGGGCATCACTCCCGCTGACAGCAACACAAAGGACGCGGGACCCACCTCACCTCAAGCACCACACCCAACAAGTACCACTTCCTGCTCACGCGCTTCCTCTCCTCTCATCGACTGCACGGAAACAGAAACTACTCTCTGTTCTGGCCCGCGTTTCAGATAACTTCATCCTTTATTTGTCCCACAGCGGAGACATTTTACAGTAAAGGAGATAGTTTAACAGCAAACAGCGTCAGTAATGTAGAAAATAAGAAATCAATAAAATTAATAAATTAACAAAAACTGAAAACTGACTAAATGCTTTTCTTCAATTGACTTCATATAAAAAAATATAATATGTGTATTGATTTTGCAGTGTTTTATATATATATATATATATATATATATATATATATATATATATATATATATATATTGCTCAACAAGTTAAATAAAGATAGTCATTTTTACATTATACAGGCTTCATATTAGTGGTTTAAATGTCATTTGGTCGGTTTCATATTTAAAAAAATAGGGTTTAAACAATTGAAATGAAGTTTTCTTATTGATGGAGTTAGCTTGCATGCAGTTCTTATCATACATCCTTGGTTGTTAGTCACTGTTACCGCCTGTTCTCTGTTTCTTAAGAAGCGGAATGCTTATTCAGTGTGCTATGCCGCCACTTTAGACTGACTACGAGCAAGGCAGTAAATATGCACAATGACAAAACGTCCAGGATTTATCATTTCCACAAGCCGTCGTAAACGTATCAGTTTTAAAAACAGTAAAAAATACACATGAGCTGACCTGAATGTGACAAACTTTGTTCAGAGATATTTCCTACCTAGTTGGTCTGTGGGGCTTATTCGAAATAGGTCAACAGTTGTTAGGTGTCAAACAACACTTTTTTAAAAACATTTTACCAAGCTTGTGCCTCATTTCCCATCACTCACAACCCACTGCGGTTTCTCACCAGGATTTCATTAGAAAGTGCATTAAGATATCAAGTAAGAAGCTTTACACACATGACACAACAATCAGTGGCTCTGAAATGACTGCCCAATCTATTCGCTAATAACACAGCGACACTCTGCTAAACAACTAATAGTCAAATATGTTTCAAGAAAAAGAAACGATGAGGAACTGGTTTTGCAGTCTCATTTTGAACCATCTTATTT